CATCATTTCAGAGTGTTAAGGTCCATACCAGATGAACAGTGAGTGTGTACTCCATAAATACCTAGAATCAATGTTTTTTCCTGTTAATATTTCAGCAATGTCTCACATGCAAGGTTTTTTTGTGTTTTTTTTTTTTAGGACTACTCATAAATGATTTAACCCAAACATGGCGTCAGCATGGTTACAGTCTATTAGTGGACCCAATTCTGATACTGAAGGACCTGCCTCAAAATATCTTCCCATCATAGCAATGATCTTTGCATCCCTTTTTACTCATCTCTCGTGTTGGGTTGGAATGTATTATCTTATAAGCTGTGGATGCTGTTCTACATTATGCTTGGTGCGGTCAGAGATCATAACAATCTACTCCGTGGCAAATATTGCTTCAGTCAGTTCAACTGATTAAAACATCCCTTATTGTGAAAGTTAGACACATTGATACAAAAAGCGAAAGCAAAACGAAGATGTGAACGCAGTGTTAAGAATGTACGATTTTGCATCTTGCGTGATTTGGCATCCTCATTGTGACAATTTGATACTCTATGATACACGCTGCAACTTGTGTTTACAAATAAGGTTGATCACGTATCATGCAAGGTTCTAAGTTGACAGCTTTTCGCTGGAAATAAAACAGGTCAACGCATTTACATGTCAAGACACGCTGGAACTTGTTGACGACAGTCTGTCAACATGTCACATTGCACGATGGATCAAAATTAAATGTCAACGAAAGTTGAAACGTGTATCATGGCCTATATGACTAAACTAAGATGTTCAATGTGATCGGGCAGAAGCGTGAAAACAATGACTGATGCTACATGGATTTATAAACTGGCATGTGGGCCAACAATTTCCCTGACACAGTGAAGAGTGCTTTGTATCAGTATGTTTGACTGAAGCAACATCTTGATGAATGTTCTCCGACTGTACTGCATACAATACAATAAAAATAGCATAACTTTTAAAACTAAGATCAATAACTAACCATTTAGAAAAAAATTCTGTTGATAATAAACACTCCAAAAGGTAATAATACAACATGTGAAAGATAAGCTGACCTTTGACCCAAAATACAATAATATGGGATCAAAAAAACATATTCCTAATTACCATCAATTACAGAACTCCAAGTGAACATTCCCAGATTTTGTTCAACAAAATAAATGAATATATCATTTCTATCAATATTTGTATGTTTAATATACATTATGAAAAGGGTATTAAAATCACGAATACATGATTTAGTAAAAATACAGCTAACAAAATTAGCATATTCATGTACATGTAGTAGTAAAGCAACATTTAATCACCTTCACCCCACAGGCATTTTATATACCCCTGCTACCATCGACAAATACATACACTACCAACACATGAAACAACACCAAGATGTTATCTTGTACATAATTGCATAGAACAAAAAAAGCTAGCTATATATTTTTTTTTAAATATGTACAGTTATTTACAAGCTGCAAATGATTAAACTAAGCAGCTCTGTCTAAAGATCTATCTACTGTTATTTGCATAGCACGCACATCAATATACAGAGAACCAATGTGAAAAGCCGTGAATGTAATATGTACATAACATAATAAAAATGCATGCACCCAGGTCTTCACAACCAAGATAGAAAATCCACGCGTCATGTACTACATTAGTCATTGCACACCAATATATTTCAATAGTAATATTTGTTCTATTTGTAGCTCATGTACTCGCGTAAATTGCGGTATGGGCTATGGTCAAACCATGATCATGTTTTTTTATCACTAGTTTACACTAAATGCAGTTTCTGACTCGTGTGCACTTCCCTACTGAACATGTGCTTCCATACACCAAATACAGTAGTTGTGACTTGTGTGTACAATAAGAGGCAAGGTTGCAAGCTGAAATACAAGCATTCATGCCTCTTTTTTTGAAATCACCAAAATACAGATTATACTACCCGGTAGATCTGCCTATATGAAAGGTATGTTCAAATATTGCTAAATATTGTTGATTAGAAAAAGTCAACTTCATAAGTGTGTTCTGTAGAGAATTAGTAAGTGAAACAGTTAGATCAGAATTTCAAAACTCGAGTTGTGTAATTCGCGTGATAATGATGAAAACTAAGATTTAACATCACTAGAAACTAGACTAATAGAGACACACGACTGCAGCAACCATCAAAGGAAAGAGTCTGTCGTTATATGTAATACACGTTTGGTATATCAGTACTTTTCCACAGTTGCGCGTGCCCGTTTTTCTAGTGCCTCAAAAAAACCTTGTTACAACCACAAATATGTGTTACAAACGCCAAACACTTAGTAAAGCTATACAATAATACAAGTGCAATGAATACTGTACTTTTTGGCAGGATTAGAAGATATGACGTTCTAGAGTTGAGAAACAAAACTAAGAAAGCGCTGATAACTGGAAATTTGAATAACTAATGGCACCTAGCAACTAAAAATGTAATCATCTCATTTATTCGTCAATTAATCTAAAAATTCATTTTGCTATAATTGAGAAAACATCATTGAACAAAATGAATTTATGTAAAAAGCTCTCAATGTTAGTAAGACAGCACTCTGATCTAAAGGTCAATAATCTGTAATAATAATAATGTAATAAACTTGATTTGTGTAATCTGAATACATCTTCTAAGAACATACACCATAACAAGTATAAACTGTGTGTAAGCTCTATCAATACAACATGTATTTAGAATGTGATGAAATATACCATTCGGTGAATGTCTTCCCACAATGCACTGTATGTATCAAGACCCCTCAAGTTTCTTGAAATAATACCCACTAACTCCAGACGCAGATAATCAATAAATTTACTGTACAAACCCCATATTGATCCCATATTTTTAGAAAGGTGAAACCACCTGAGATGTGTTTTGTGATAGTAGTAAAAAGGAAAACTCAAATGTACAAATGACGTGGCGGCCATACCGGTATTAAGAAATTCACATGCAATGCATTGTGGGCTAAACACTACATGAAACAGACAGTGTGCAGTTAACTTTTATAATTCACGAAAAAAAAAAATTAGACCATAACTTGAAAAATGACAAAGTAAATGCAAATTAATGAAAACATTCCAACCACATACGAAATATGTAAATTATGTGGAAAACAATTGACAATCACATAAAACAGAAATTATTTTATATATAAATTATTAACACAAAAGAAAAAGACAAGCAGTATTTCATCAAAGTGTTTCTATTTTCAATAATCATTCCATCTTACAATGTGTAAGAAGTACTGTAAACAGCTTTATTTTGCACAAATTTTTCAGGTTAGTGAAAATGATCCAATTTTGTAGCAGTGAAAAATGGCACTGTGGTCCTAAAAACACAGGGTCACATCAACCTTGTGTTTTGTAAATTTTTTTTCTTCATGAATTCCAAATCAAAATTCCAAGCTGCAAAAATAAACCTGATTACAGTACTTTGTCAGCCTTCTGGAGTAAGAATATTGAATCCGAGAAATAAGACAGTTTCGGCCCATACTAAAAATTCTGCAGTAGACAAGTTTGATTGTTCTACCCACAGTCAGCTGGCGCACATCTGATATAATAAAATAAATGCGATATTTACTATATGGGGGCTGCCATCTTGAATGACGCATAAAACTAAATAAGAGACAAGTTGTGAAACGCGTTTTTCAGTTTCCTGCAAATCAGGACAAAAATACCAATCTTTCACAAAAATACGGTCCGTTGGGGTTATATTAAGCCAGCAGATAACAAAATTCGGCCGAATTCGTCGTTTTTGTGTGGAAAAATCCCTTGCATACGAACACCTAATTACGCGAAGAACACAGAACACTAAGCCGGGGTAT